CAAGTCCCCCCCTCGGTGTTTGCCATCGGGATTGGGTTTTCGTCGCTTGGCAACGATGTTGTAAAACAAGCCAATTCACTTCGTGAGTTCGGCAACCAGGATACCGTTTTTTTTTACCCCTGCTTTTTTGTGGCGGAAACCATAATGGTGGTCGAGTAGATCATGTTGTGCGGGGTGGAGAACCCTCACTCCGCGCAAGGGGGATGATCGCACCATGTTGTGTTAAAATGGTCAAGCACCCTCGAGGCAGTTACACGGTGCTTACAACTGTCTCTGGAAGTGAAAGCACCAGAAGATAATTTAAGTGTCCTCCGTACGCAAGGAAGTAAGCACAAGATGCCGAAAACCCTTAGCAGGATGCAGCGCACCCTTCATGCGACTCGTCGAATACGTCACGGCGCTTCGCGCTTGGTGATGTGAGAGCCTGGTCCGGTGAGAACGCGGCGTGCTTTGTCCTGGCTTTGTAGGGATGCGAGGTCAATGGTCTAACGACTACGGCATGCACGCCTATGAGTACACCCCCTTCCCCCCCTCCCCTCCTATTTGTGATGCCAGGGCGGGGGAGAATGCGGAGTCGACAACCTCCGGACTCTGTGCGTAGTGTGCCACTCGGAGGTTACGCGGGTTCAGACCACGGAACGGGCCGCAACCAGGAGGATGGAGAAGGAGAACAAGCGCCGGTGGGTGCTTTTTTTATTTTGCCAGGATGTTTCATTTATTGGAAGTGCTGTACCGTGCGTGCCACGATGATGACACGGTGTGTAACGTGTACGTAGCATTTATTCTGTACGCCGGCACGGTATTGATGTAGCGCGGCCTCTTGTGAGAGCCTTTAGTTTTTGCCGGCGGCGTTTTTCGCCCGGAAGTTCTTGCCCGGCCCAAATGATAATGCTGTAACTGGACTCTACCTTGACACGGTCGACCCTAGATCTCCAAGCTTGCAGGTGGTGGCATCGTCAGTGCAACAAGCGCGACGCGCAAGGTCGTCGTGTGTGTGTGTGTGTGTGTCATGAAATTGGTTGCTTGCGGGTGATGGTGCCTTGAGGGTGTAGTACAGAACGAGCCCGCAATATAGAGTCGGCATTGCCGGGTCAATCCTGAACTTCTTCAAGCACAAGTTTTGAACTATACCGTACCTGGTAGAGGTTAGATTGGGATTTCCCGCTGAGCTGTGTTTCTTACCCCCCCCATTTTGTTTTTCGTAAAGCTTTGAGCGCCATTTTCTCGACAGAACTTTCTCGACTGTGGACCTGTTTCTGTAGCACGCCTCGACTGAGAACTGCACGGTCTCGAAAAACCGCTTTGATTTTTGCTGCGCGGCCTAATCGATGGAATAATGCTATCTTGTCTTCTGACACAGGTCCCTCGAGGAGGCGCAAGGGCAGCGTCGGCTCGTCAGCTTCGGCGGCGGCATCGCCCTGTCGGCAGTGTCATCACAGACCGGGAATACTGTAGGAGGAAGGGGGGGCAGCCAGGACGACGCCTGCGAGATCTCCGGAAGCGACGAAGACCGCGGCGACGCTGACGGCAGCAGTGGAGGTGCTCACCACACCGACAGCGACGACGATGACGGCGTGTTTATGTCTCCGTTGAAGAAGCAGGTCTGCGCAGGCATAGCCGGCAGGCGCGAAGGCGGTGGAGACGATGTCGCCGCGAAGACGAACAGCACGGCGTTGAAGCCGGGCCTCAAGGGCTGCAACCGTCCGCATCGAGGGAGCGAGCAGCCCAAATCTTTCGCGCCCCGAGGGGAAGTGGACGTTGCCGACGGCACGGCGAGAAACAGACACGGCGTGAGGAGCAGGTCGACCCGTGCTTCCCTGGAAGCTTTCGAGCGAATTATCAACGGCGAGGGCTGCGACTTGGACTCTCCGCCGCGAGCGGGCGGCCCCGGCGATGGCGTTCCAAGTGCTGGTGCTGCCGTTGGAAACGGTGGTGGTGGCGGCGGCGGCAACAACAGCGATGACAGCTGCGAGATAATGTTCACCCGTGTGCGTCCCACCTGATGCCCCCACCTCCTCGTTGCCGTCGTCAGCACGGCCGGGAAACAGGGCTCCCTTTCAGGAGGGACGAGGGCGGCGGGGGGTCATCCAGCGGTGGGAGTGTTTTTCGTCCAACTCCTCGCAGCAGGCGACGCTAGCGACTGGCTAGGCACACATGGCAAATAGTGGCTGTTGATGGCGTGCAGAGCCGCCCCCCTGGCCCTAGTGCAGAACACAAATCTACTCATTTTTTCGCTGAGGCTAGTTTCTAATTTAATCTATGGGATACCCCCACCGCGACTATATAGGTTCTAGTGTACGCTTTCTTGACCTGGCGCCTGTTCTCATGGCCAAGTTATCAGATTTTGGATTTTTATTTGTTGGCCCAAGTTCTCAAATCCTAGGAGTATGTTCGTAAGGTGTTGTTGGCGTGTCCTGTAGGTGGTGGTGGCGCGGACTCTTAGCAAACCCCGTGCACGCGGCAGGAGGAGGAGTTTATCGACTGAAATAATCGGACGTCGGTGCACTGTGTTCACGACCGGGATTCTATGATGTTTTGCTCCCAAGCCACTACAGTGCGGGAGAGGCTCAGCGGTACTCGCACAGAGGGGGCCAACAGAGCGTTTGCTGTCGCGTGTACCAAGATGGGTGTGCGGCGAAAATTCCAGGGAGCTACGGCCTGCTGGCAAGAAAATAACCACGTGGTAGTCAAACGAATAATCTGCTTTTGCCTGCCGTTGTTCTTGACGTGTGTCGTAATCAGGCCGCACTACCCACGCACGTTCTGAAAACACCAATTTTCTCACAGGCTGTATCTTTTCCGCCGTATCCGAAATCGACGTACATTACCCATGGGATGGTTGCGAGATTCCAAGCGCAAGATTGTAGAAAGTATGCTGGTCCGTACGATAAGGACATGAAACCGAGTAAATTCCAGGCACACACCTACTATTCCCACGTTTCAGAAAAGGACGCAAGAAATATCCTGTGAGTACAAGTCTCTGTGCTGGTCGGGAGCATATGATGTGCCGGTTCGGGCACCAACCTCTCCCGCAGGTTTCGCCGCTGCCTGTCCATTATTGTCTTCCACGAAAAGCGAGGTAGTCTCTCTCTCTCCCTCCCCCCTCCCCTCCGTCTCCCTTAACCTGGCTCGCATTGGTCTCACATCACATGTCATACGGCGGTGAAATCGAAGACCGGGTCATGTTTAGACAGGAGAACAATACAAATCCCCTTCCTACTGCGGTATCTATGATGCGTACGGACATACGTGCACCTCTCGGAACCGTATAGGCGTGATGGGCACCAATTCCAACAGACAGGGCATGACCATTTACCTAGGTCACCGTTGGACAAGGTGCTCGGATTCTATAGTAGCGTACCCCTGAAACACAACAATATATGGGACGGTGTAGCGCAGACACCGCGGAAAACAATGCTGAAGCGAGGAGCGATTCCAGCGGGCGAACATTCTGCTGTCCCTCGAGTTTTTCCGCGTTCCCACACTCATAAATGGTCTCATGTAGGTCGTGATGACAGCCTGAATCGGATCAACAATCTCATCTTTCGATGCCGATCAAGTCAAAACTGTACGCGAGCAAGCCTTTCAGTATCGAGGACCTGACCGCAAAACCCCGGGCTGTTCTTCCAGGACTTGTCCGCTATTGTCCGACAATGATTGTGGCTTTGTGAAGGCCGAACTAAATAGGGCACGTCTGTAGTGCCCCATGCTTCGGAGCCAGTTTCGACTTGTCATTATATCTCCTTATTTCTGCTCCCTCCTCGGCCAAGAGCAGGTAATTGTATCCTTCGCATCGTGACCATGGCGTCAAGCTCTTCACACGCGGCGTCAAGATCTCCAATACCGGACATCTTATCACCTTCGAGACAAGAGGAACTTTTCCGCGCACGGTAGGTTAACCGTTTGGGAATCTTAGTATGATGCAGCACGACAGTTCGTCTTAGGCTCAAGTTAGCACGCTGAGACTTCATGTCGATCGAACAAACAAATACTAGCGCGTTTGCAGCATCATCCATGAAAAGAGGTGTAGTCTACATACATAAGTACGGTCGAAGGCGTTCGATGTTCGCGACGGAATATGCCTTGACGAGTCCGACAAGAAAAAGTTATGCAATCACTATTGCATTATTATCGTTCTACACCGGGTCTCAAAGTTCTCCAGACGACAAGGAAGGAAGCTTTTCTTGTTGACTTTGGGAAGATATTTGAAGTGTGGACTGAGGAGTACATTGCCGTTTTTCCTCAGTAGCGCCGTCCTTCGATAATACAAATTCACTTTGGGGCCGATTCTTGCGGCCCCCGTTGGGCCGTTGGGGCCGATTTTTGAGCGTACTTCATCAGGAGTGCCACGCAACCAAGTTAGCTCTCCCAACTGTGTAGCTGCGTTACGCACGTGTATGACCGTCGGCACCGGGAGTACCCTGGTTCGCGGATTTTAGCAATCGCATCGCCGACAGTGAATGTACGTTCGGTAGACGATTGGGCACAAATCGACCCAACCCTTAGAGGCACTGACAAAGACATAACGTCCGACATGAGTGTGCGAAGTTGTACATATACATTGCTTTTCGTCGAAGAGGTCTCTGTGTTTCCTGATCTCTCCTTGTTTCGCTGGCTCGTGATGCCCTTCGCTACAATTACATGATTTCCCGTTCGGCTCCATTTCCAGTGGTACGCTCGTGATACGCAGTGGGATTCGTAATCCCTTGCTAATGTCGTTGCTATTTGCCACGTGGTTGAAACCTCGTTCTCCGTTCCTGCTTGCGTTGCTTTCCTCGCCCAGATGGCCTGATGACGCTTGTCTGAATTTTTCAACCCATGATAGACGGTCGCCCGGGTAGTGGTCAATTGGTATCCTTTCAACCTTTCCCCACCCATGGCTAGGGGTTCCAATCCGGCGTAAGCGATCTTTTTTGCAACAAAATTGATTTTCTCGTGTTTCGTTGGCATGATTCTACCATGCAGGTCTTGCCTTCTTCAGAATCATTGGATCTCCAACGTGCTCCAACGACCGCGGGCGTAACGAGGCCTCTTTTGGTTGCAAGAGCTCCTTGCACTATCATCCAACACCTTGCTTATGGTTTCTCCTTGCGACTCTTCACGCTCGACCTTTTTGCGGAGGACCTTTCTCGTTGATTGCACCGTGGACCACGGTAATGCGGTGAACCTACGGTACCATGACAGAGTTGCCCATCAAGAATATTCAGTGGAAAATTACACCAAAAGAATCGATATGTCAGTGCGTAATGAATGGCGCACACCTGTTGGTATATCCACGGTGCGTATACGGCCGTAGTTCCACGGTACGTACACGACGGTTTTTCCAGACACCGTGGCCACGCGACGGCGTTCACTTTGTGTTTACGCTGCCATTCGATGCCGGCTGATGTTGACCTTCTTATGACGAATTTTATACTGTTGTACTGTATATATTCCTGATGGGTAACTGTGTCAAGGTCGGTTCACCGCATTTCCGTGGTTCACGGTGAAATTAGCGAGGAGAACAACCTACTTCTCTTCGTCCAACAGCCAAAATGCATCCACGTTCTTACGGAGGGCGGGACCAGAAGTATCTGGAGCTCAGAGAACGGTCGCGAGACAGTTTCCCCTCTTCGAAGGGGACGGGACCATAGCACGCGGCGCTATACCTGCTAGGTAAGACGTGTCGGAAGATAGGTTGTATGAGGAGTATGAGATGTGGCTCTCTCTTCAGCACCCACTCATGGTATGTTTCGGTCGAGTGGAGAAATGTGTACGTGTGCGGTGAATGCAATGAGATACCAACTTGCGAGGCACGACGGAATCGCGGTGTGATGTTGAGGGTCGTAGACGTGGATCGACGTTATACCATGGCCAAGCGAAAAATACGAGTCTTTCCTAAGGACAAGGTGTCTGCGCCTGGTATCTCTCTTCAACATCCCTATCTTCTTCATCCGAGAATTCAGACGAATGTTTCGTTCGCTGTTTGAAAACCCCACCATCGTGGCGTGTGCCATTCATCGTCTGCTCCAATCTGTGAGATCAATCAACGAGGCGGTGGAAAAGCTTCTGCTGAGCTGGGGATTCGCAGCGAAGGAACTGACCCTCCAACCATGTTATGTTCCTACATCGTTGAGCTCGCCGGCCCTGCAAGACCGAACGTCGGCGAGCAGTTCTCCAACCAGGCCGAGGTATGATTCAACCCATTTTTGGTGGTTGTGCCGTTGGTGCGGGCACTCCCCTGATCTACACATATAACGGGGTACGAACGATGTATCCGCCAAGTCATTAGATACCTTGCAGGTCCGCTGACAAACCCACAACCTAGAACCTCTGGAAACCGAACTCCTGGTAACAACACGTGGACAGAAAATGTACCGGCGATATACTGGCTGGCATAGCAAGGAAGCGCTTCATGCACTAATTATATTGTTTCGTGTTTGTTTGTTATGCTCAGGCCTATGCCATGTCGCATGAGACGAGGTTGAAACAGGAAAATGGCCGTCGACAGTCCCAGGAAGTTGGTCCGACGTTGAAGAGGGAACCGGAGGGAGAGGAGGCACTGAGCGAGGGAGCTGGTGTGCAAGGCCCTGGACCGGTAGGGATTTTTGGATGTGCCCTAAAGTGATTTCGGCGGAAAACCCGTACAAACGAACCTAGAACCTTCCCAATACACATCAAGCTCTTACAGTTGGGGTTGGGGTTTAAGGTCGATCGCCGATGGTGGAGGCGAACCGATCAAGATAGATGCTCACCTTGTGCTCATCCGCATGTCTACCTCCGCAAATAAATCACTGCAGGCACATTTTCCGTTCCTGCTTGCGTTGCTTTCCTCGCCCAGATGGCCTGATGACGCTTGTCCTAATTTGTCAACCCATGATAGACGGTCGCCCCGGTAGTGGTCGAGTTGGTATCCTCGCAACCTTTCCCCACCCATGGCTAGGGATTCCAATCCGGCGTAAGCGATCTTTTTTGCAACAAAACCGAATTTTCTCGTGTTTCGTTGGTATGATTCTACCATGCAGGTCTTGTCATCTTGAGAATCATTGGATCTCGAACGTGGTCCAATGACCGCGGGCGTAACGAGGGCTCGTTTGGTTGCAAGCACTCCTTGCGCCATCATCCAACACCTTGCTTATGGTTTCTCCTTGCGACTCTTCACGCTCGACCTTTTTGCGGAGGGCCTTCCTCGTTGATTGCACCGTGGACCACGGTAACGCGGTGAATCTACGGTACCATGACAGAGTTGCCCATCAAGAATATTCAATGGGAAATTACACCATAAGCACCGACATGTCAGTGCGTAATGAATGGCGCACACCTGTTCGTATATCCACGGTGCGTATACGGCCGTTGTTCCACGGTACGTACACGACGGTTTTTCCAGATACCGTGGCCACGCGACCGCGTTCACTTTGTGTTTACGCTGCCATTCGATGCCGGCTGATGTTGACCTTCTTATGACGAATTTTATACTGTTGTACTGTATATTCCTGATGGGTAACTGTGTCAAGGTCGGTTCACCGCATTTCCGTGGTTCACGGTGAAATTAACGAGGAGAACAA